GTGGTCGAAGCTCAAGAAAAAATCACCAGGGGAAATCGCTGTCTCGATTCGAGAATCACTGCGAATGGGGAAGCGTTGAAATCTTCTTCTGAAGCTGGAGATGTGAAAGTTGAAGTTCAACGTACGTTATCGTCACTCTTTTTGTGCGGCTACGATAGTCCTTTGAGAATAAGGTCTGCGAAAGGAAGTTCGCAGCCTCGTAGGAGGTCACCGGTTCTGGAAATCCGTTTTCAATCACTTTTTGTTGAATTATGAACAGATATGCATCCTACTCTGTCCAGGTAAACGTACGAGAAATTCAATGCAGTGAGATGAACCATTTGAGTGCCTCAGGATATACAGTATTTTTCTGCAAGGAGGAGAGTATCTTTTCATGATCGTCACTGATTTTTCAGCTTTTCTCAGAGCGACAGAAAAAAGTCCGCTACATTTTCAAGAAGTGTTGAATGAATTAGATCCTCATCTTTCAACTGTTTCGCGTTGGCATTGAAAATGTTTTTGTTGGCATTTACGGTGAGCCAAAATTTAAGCTGTTGTAAATAAGGCGTCTTTAATTGTAGCGTTTTGAGAATATAGCTGAGAATCCATGCAGAAATCATAGAATACAATGGTCCCAAAAATTTGCCTTGAAAATTCTGGAATGAAAATTTGAGACCGATTTACTGTGAATGAGGATCTGTTAGGTTAAATGGTACTCGTGCTCGTTTAGACAAAATTCTTGGCTATAGATCCTGATTTAATCTCACCGCTTTGATTTTTACTTGAATTAGAATTGATTTTTTTTTATCACAAGGGTTAGACCGACTGATTTTACAGTGTATCTGCAAGTGGCGAGGGCTTGTGGATGATTCGAAGATACAGTTTAAGTTGAACTTCGAGGGTCCAGCAAAATAAATGCCAGTTTCGAGTTTGGGAACAAAACATTTGTGTTGAGGGAAAGAAAGAAAAATTGCAGAAATTCTTTATTGTGATTTTCTAACTCTAAGCGTAAACATTACTTCTTAAATTATGTCGACAGGATGCCGAACTTGAAGGCAAAGGGTTCATTTTCCCAAATAGTCTTCCACTTCCTTTCAAAACGCATCAAATTAAATTTTTATTGCTTTTCTCATTTCTGTGTCAATACAAAATTGGTAAAAATGCCGTCAGAGAATTCGACTTTTGGAGGTTTAGACTTAGAGGAAAGTCTTCGATTCAGGAAGGTTTTCAATGCATTTTTTCTACAAGGACTTGAAAAAAATTTTGAATTGGTGAGGTTTGAGTCATCCAGGTTCAAATCTGTGTTCTTTTGAAAAATTCGTTCGTCGAAGAGGAGGCGAAAATGTTCTGAACTTCAAACCTTTTTTCTTTAAATTCAGAACCCGAATCCGCGTCTGATGATTTTCATCGGGCACCCGTCGAAGACACCTTCTCTGAGAAGTCGTCATCTGTTTCACATCGCTTGGAAGAATCCGTGAGCAGTGACCAAGTTCCGTCCGCGTCTGCCAGAGCATGTGACAAGAATCGACAGAAATCCCTTTTGTCGTGGACGAGACGAATGGATAATGCTCCGACTGCGAGCGTGTTGAAAGAAGTGAATTATTTGTTCAACCGGGTTCGAGGAGTTGATGAGCAGTGCAGAGAAGAAGAAAGTTATCCACAGCTCGGTATTTTCCTCGGTAAGCTTCGAGACCTGTAGAACTATTTTCCTTCTATGCAAACCCGACGTTTCTCCTCCGGAAAATTGTCCTAGGTGTCGCCTGAATCGCTGATCTGACCGACGATAACTAATTCTAAGGTTATCAATCGTAAATTGCTGAGTGAAACCTCACCTTAGGTTGAAGCTATACATCATTAAACGCAACAGTAAAGTCCAACAAAGTTCAGTTTCAGGATTTATCACTGCCTTTCATTGGGATTTTTACCTTCGACTGAATTTGCTCGTATTTTTCAAGGCGAGAAGGAAACCGAGAATCAGCTTTCCTACGAAAATTCAACAACTGCTGCAGGAATGACCAGGTTGTCTCATGCCGTGGATTGTGGGGTTTACTCGGGCGACTTGATGCCAGTTTTCAAGAAGGCAATTGAAGACGGCACAGTGACTGAGCAAATGCTCGCATTGGCCCCAATGCATTCCTGGGCAATTTGGAAAGATTTGACGGAAGCTTACGCGAGGCAATGTGAGAAGAATGGAAGGTTCAGGCAAGCTAGTGTTTCGAGAGTAGCCATTGGAGATACTGAAGGAGCTATTCGAGCCCTGTTGGCGAGTGGGAAGTTTCATGATGCTTTGGCATTGGCGAGGTTTGTATGAATCTGACCATGTTTTATCTATTTTTCCCAAAAGAAACGACGGATCAAAGTAAATTATACAACGAATTGTTTTTCATGTTCCGAAAATGTATGAGAGCGCCTTTGTTTCAGACCGTATGCGAGACAATTTGAAAATTTGAATTCATGGCGGAACGAATAACCTCTGAACTTATTTCAAGTTTCAATAGAGATGGTCCAAAATTTTCAAATACATTTTAGTTAAATTTCGTCTACCTTACTTCTGAGATGAATGATACCGTTCACAATTGAACCTCGAAGATAACTCGAATCTCAATAAGTGCAATACCTCTCTATGTGTCGAATCTGTTTCAAGTCCCCGTCGGAATTCCCTCATAGAAACAATGAAAAAATGCAAAGGCTTTCCCTTTCACGAATTTTCTGAGGGCTTTTTGGCTATTATTTTATCGACACGGGAAAAAGAAAAGCTGTAACTGTATGTGTTTTAATAGGAAAGGGAAGAATAATTGAGCAAATGAATCCTTGCCTCCAAGTTCAGTATCCTGTCAACTCATTCAAGAGGCTCTTTAAGGCCCAGAATATCACCCATTAAAATTTCCTAAAATTCTTCTTCTATGCCCCGAACAAAAATGATAGCTTTACCTGACTCGAAACCTCCGACACTCGAATTTTTTCCTTGTCCCTTGAAATTCGACTTGAGGAGTTTCGACTGAAAATTACAGTTTTCTCGAAAATTATGCTACGACTTGTTCATAAACACTGTAGGCCATGCAGTATTTTTGGCGAAACTCGATACTGCAGACAAGGAATGACTTCGCTGATTAAAAAAATATATATGAAAAAGTCGTTCGCGCGATAATCATGATGATCGAGTTTAAATTATGTTCGTGCAGCATCGGAAGCTCCGTGTTCGATTTTAATGACAAATTTTAAACCGAACCTTGCCTAAATTCTGGACTTATCTAGGCTGAGGAGGAAAGATGCCACCATTGATGTGATTCTCAAGGAGTGGTTGGATTTTTCTCGCAACGCCTCTGGATCTCAGCAAATGGCTGCGAAATGTTCGCTCGCCTCGGGGGATTTCATGTCTGCTGGACGAGCGTTGGCTGCAAAAGCCGAAAAGGGGTTTTTGGCGTTAGCCGCAAAAATCATGGCTGCAAGTTCGAATCAAGATGAGTCCTCTGTTCGGGAAGCTGATCTCACTGCTCTGAAAGCGATTGGTATGCTCACTGAAGGAGGTATGTGCATCCGTCATTCTGGGAATCCTTTTCTTTCGGGTAATTTCTGCGAATCTGTATCGCGAAACCTCGAATATTTTAAAGATTTGGCTTCAAAAGTTTTACATTTTCGTCGCGAGTTGAGAAAAGAAACATTCAAGGCCTGGAGAAATACTGTACTTCGAGTCGTCAAAGAAATGCGGTCTATGAGAAATTTACTCGATTTGCCTCACGTTCAAGTTTTTTCCCGGTTCCTGAATTAAATCGTGACGTTATTCTTTCCTTCTCAAGTTCTATCGTTATACTTCGACTAATTTCGTTGACTTGACACCGAAGAAAAAAATGTTAATTACTTTCTCTGGTGTGACTATCATTAGCGTACTTATTTTTCTGATAGATTGCAGACTATGAAGAAGTATTTAATATATATTGAACATGAATACTGCGAGAGAAAGAAATATACCGTGTACGTGCTAATTGTCTTGCTCGCATTATATAGCTCAATGTGGTCAACGTTTCAAGTTACTGTATTTCCTTTTTCTGCACCTGTCAATTTATTGGGAAGGGTTGCCAATGAATGAAGACATGATAAAACTGACCTTGTTTACGCAATTTCAGCTTGTAATTTGAGCTCAATTCAGGGATTATTTACGATTTCCTCTAATCTGCTCCGTACTCATACTGTATCAAGATTTAAATTTTTCAAGTTCTTATTAAACCCCCGTGAATGTATTGCATTGATCTTTCGTGTCCATTAACCTTCTGGCTTCTGTTTGTGAAGGTGAAATCGACGAAGCTCTGGAATTGGTGAAATGCTTTCCAAGATGGTCGTGGATGCGGCCGGTACTTTTAGTCGAGCAGCTTTTGTTGTCGTGGAAGCCAAGTTTACTGGACGTTTTGGAGTCCCTGTCGTTAGCTTGTGATTTATCTTTCGTGCGACGCGAAAGGCAATCATCGGATGCTATCTTACTTGGACTAAACGAAGTGTTGAATACGTTCACCGTCAGTGATTTGGAGTGTTCGTGGCAAAACGCGAAATCGCACTTCGCGTTGAGCACAACTCGTTTGGTTGGGGCTCGTGGTGTAGCCTTGGCCATCTTAGCTGGGAAGTCGAAAGCGTCAAATGGGGAATTGGTCGACATGTGTCGGGGTTTGAGTGTTTCGGATTATCATCCAGTTTGTCGGGTTCTCTATGACGTCATTTCCGGCTTCGCGAAGCCGTTGTGCGCGAAGTTTCTCTGCCAATTTACGAATTCGTTACGAATAGAAGATCAAGTCGTGAAAGCGAATGAAGGCGAAATTTTGAGGTTTGTTGCCGGTCTGCGACTTGGTTTCAACATTGAACCCTGTGATGGATCGGTGAGTGAACAACTTGAGAAATGTGGTGAACTTTTGGAAGCTTTGAGCCTGAAAGAGGAAGAATGAATTTTTTTTTTTTT